GAGTACAACAATATTTTGTTAGTTATTGCTAACGTTTAATAAAAAATGATTTTAAAAATAAGCGACACTATAGTTGCTTTATTCTAAATATTTCAATCGCTTGTGATTCGAACAATTGAAAATGACCAAGAAGTTTATAATATAAGCTTCTTGAAATGGACGTAATGGGTATCTTTCCAACTTTTGCGCAATTTGATTATTATGTTTGCTTTTGTAATTTATATTTATGATTCATTTATATATAAATCAACTGTAAAAAAATAACACTTTTAAATGATAACTATGATAACACTACTATATTTATTTAGTGAAAATATGATACAAAATGCATGGGTCGCCTCTTACTTGAGACTGGTGTAGTATCCAGGTCGTGGAAGCTTGCAAACGTGCAACCTGTACCCAAAAAGGGAAGCAGAGCTGACCCTGTCAACTATAGACCTATCTCAGTCACTTCCATACTCTGCAAGAGTATGGAACGTGTACTCAACAACCGTCTCCTGTCAAACCGTACGAAGACAATGACCTCCTCAGTAATCGCCAGTATGGATTCCGACGAGGGCGATCTACTTGTGTATGACTGTCACATATGGAGGGAGGCTATAGAAAAGCAAGGCGAAGCACTTGCAGTGTCTTTGGACATTACTAAAGTCTTTGACAGGGTCTGGCACGCAAGCCTTTTAAGCAAGCTTCCATGTTATGGGCTTCCCACTGACCTTTGCTATTGGATCTCGGATTTCTTGAGTGAACGTCCCATTCGAGTGGTCTTAGAAGGCAACTCTTCCGAACATATGGCGATAGATGTCATAGAGTTCCTCAGGGTTCCGTATTGTCTGCAACTCTCTTTCTGCTGCATATCAATGATATGTTAATTTCGGGTATTTTTGCGTATGCTGATGACAGCACAGTTGTAGATAGGTAATTGACCAATGCAAGGGTCAGTAGAGAGGAGATCCAGTCTTGTCGAGAGTCCATGGTTAGCCGTTTAGATTTGACGCTCAAGGCAGTCTCTGATTGGGGCGATGTCAATCTTGTCAAATTTAACGCTACCAAAACGCAGACGTGTCTATTCTCCACGGAGTCCCTTTGAGCTGACTCCGACTTTTCGTGATATATCCATACCGATAGCCGACCGTCTCCAGCTCCTTGGAATGGACCTGTCGTCCAATCTGAACTTCGGCAGATACATTGAATCCATGGCCAAAAATACAGCCAGGAAGTTTGGCATCCTTTCCAAGATGAGGCGTTACTTCACACCGGGACAGTTGCTTCAGCAGTATCAAACACAAGTCCGGTAGTGTGTGGAGTACCGCTGCCACCTTTGGGATGGCTCTGCTACATACCAACTTGACACCTTGGATTCAATTGATAAGCGTGTCAAGAGGCTTATAGATGACTCGGAATTAGTAGCAGAGGCGAAGCTGCAGAGCCTTGAACACCGCCGTAAAGTTGCATACTTATCGGTATTTTACAGGATAAATCACGTTCACATGTTGTGGATATTCCAAAGATTCGCACGAAACGTTACACTTACACATTTATATGGCGAACGGCTATGTAGTGGAATTTCCTGCCTGCAGACCTATTCCCTGAACGTTATAACTTGGACCTTTTCAAGGCAAGAGTGAATAGGCTGTATTTAGGTGTGCATGCTCCATTGTCGACCTCATTGTCGAATTTCCATCAGGTGAGATGAAGGTCAAATGCATACTTACGTTAGAATAAAAAAAACAAAATCCTGTTTTTACACTTTACTGCATTGACTTACAAATAAATGGACGACGGGTCTAATACAAAAACCACGAAAAAAATGTCCCAAGTCAACCTATTTAAACGTAGTGACATGTAAAGGAATATGAAAAAGCTAAAACGTTGAATTTAAATTCTAATGTCATCGCAGTACTGTCTAATTTTGCTTGTTTCGCTGTCAGTCGAACAAACGAAGACTAAAGCGTGAATGACGCTCTGTATACGATTTTAACGCCCTATAAGTTAGGACACTTTTTAGCGCGGACCCGACGTCCATATAATTGTAAGTCAATGCTTTACTGCATTAATTTTTACAAGTTATTACTATATAGTACTGCATGATTGACAACCGCGCTGTCAGTGGAACCAACGGAGACTGTTATGCGATTGACGCTCTGTATGCTATTTTAAAGCCCTATAGGTGCGGACACTGTTTAGCGCGAACCCGACGTCCATTTGTTTGCTCTTGATCAATATTTGAATAATATTACGAGGAAAAAACTGTCTTCTTATGTTTCATATTAAAGAGGAATTAATTGATATCCACTGCCTTTTACTTTTACTTATAAACAGGCTATCGATCAGCGCCATCTAAGTATAAGACGGGGTTTGAACTTTTTCAGAGTTAAGATCTGTAGTACGGAGATTAGCAGTCAATGAATATTGCATCTTACAATGTACTTCAAAATGTTGCACTTACTTTTTCTCGTTATTAGTCGTTCAGTATCAAGTCACTCATATCCTAAAATATTATTGGATAGAACCAAAAATAAGAATTATCTAGTAGATTATGAGCGAAATTAAAATTATTTTTATGTTGTATAATTTATAAAACTACGTTATTTAAGATCTTTGTAAATTTTATATGGAGGAATACATTGATTTCAATAATCATTATTGCTGACTCTTGGATTCATAGTGTAACATTGTAACTTAAATCAATTACAATTCTTAGTAATAATTTAGAATATTCTGTAATAATTTGGGTTGGTAAATGCTCCGATAAAATAATAATAATAGGTAAAACATTATAAATTAATTTCATTCGACAATTGTTTACACAATATTTATTCATTACTGTTTTGCAGGCTCTGAACCTCCTCGAATCAGGCGACTTAGCCGTGCTCAGCTTCGGCGAGAAGCCGTATCTTCTCCACCCATTTACAGAACAATTCTCCGAACATTCCGGCTCGAAGATTCTAGAACAACTACGCTTCGAACAAACAAAAACCAAAATCGCACAACTGTTAGACTTTTGCACAATTATGTTCGAACAACAAAGTATAAGGAGTGATGCCCCGAATGCGAAGCTGTTGGTGATCGTTGGTGATGGAAGAGGCATATTTTCTGAAGGAGAAACGAAGGTTATACAAGCTGTGAGGAGAGCCAGGCAGCAGGGGATATTCTTGGTCTATGTTATTATTGATAATCCTGATAGTAAGGTAAATGTATAACATAATTTGAATTTTAATCGGTTTTTACTTTTTTTTATAACATCAAGTGACGAAGCGCCTGATGGTAGGCGTGTAGCTGCCTGTCCATAACAGTTGCAGTGCTCAGAGCTTTAAATCGCAAACACCTGAGGGGCACCGCCACTGCGTCTGTCACTCTAAGATATAAGTTGACAAGTCCCATGTGCCTGTACCATTCAATTGGTCTCTTTTCTTTTTTTTTGGAATAAATGTAATGTAGATTCGTGTTCGGTGCTATTGTTAAACTCTTCTGTCTGTACGTTTGAAGCCACAGGGAGTGGTCGATCTACGTTTTAAAACAGTTCTTTCAAATGAAAGTGTTTTCGAGGTTTGCATGCGTCAATTTTAAACGTTGCTCCAAAAAAGGTAAAATTGAAAAAAAAAAACAATTTCATAAAAGTTTCACGATGTCCGCACACATTTTGTATTTGAACCAAAATACATTTTTTTTATTAATTTTTCTTATCTAATTTTTATTTTGTTTGATGTTTTTTATTTCAATAATATCAGCTCTTTTCGAATTAAGTATAGGGACGTCAGTCGTAAATTTAATATTAATTTTATCCACTAGTCCGATCAACTTGAAATTTGGGTGTACTATTTAAATCAAAGTTGTTTGTTTATCATAAATTCTGTTGAAATTTGGTCAAATCTCAAGGGTCAAGTCACACTGAAAGAGCGGAGGCGGGCAGCGGCCGGACGAGCTAGCACGGTGCCTCTTTGAACTAGTCGGTACAAGTTGCTTGCAGTGCCGCTGTATAGATTCTATCACCTCAAGTCAATTTAAACTTTATTTCTTTAGAAGATAAGGTTCAAAATACTAAGTAATAATTTGCACCAAAAGTGCTCCTCCGGCCGCTGCGGTTTCAGTATGACTTGACTCTAGCAACTCTCGATCAAACAACCTTAACGATCTATTTATTTTCTTTTACAGGATTCAATAATGGACATCAGACGGCCACTACTCGATCCGATAACAAATAAAATAAGCTTCATTCAGTACTTGGACGCGTTCCCCTTCCCTTTCTATCTAATATTACGCGACATGTCAGCGTTACCCAACGTCTTGGGTGATGCATTGAGGCAGTGGTTTGAATTGGCTGCTAATACTGCTAGTTAGAATAAGGAAATTGAACTTAATTGACAAGTGATAAACGTACACTAAAGACATTGCACGGCACACAAATTCTAAAATAGAAATGGTATACTATACTTAAAATAATTCGACCGAAAACACGTCGCTAATAGGAAAGTTTAATAGACTCAAAGATGTCTCGCGACTGGTGTCTTAGCGCGAAATGCTTATGGCAGTTGATAAACGTTCGTTGCCGTGTATAATAATAACATGCTCGTACATACACACCATACTGCATTTACTTGACTTCGGTCCGTTAATGCGTTTCAAACCAGCTAAGAAGCTGAGAAGAATAAAGTAAATAATAATCATAAGAGTACAAGAGCGCCATAGCTATTGAAGAGTAGCTAGCTCTGTGAGCGTAAAAGAAGTACGGAGCTTGCTATCGAAAGCTTGGCGCTTATTTCGCAGGTGAGAAGTTTAGAATAATTAAAAATGTCTCACTCCGGTGTACTGGCTGCTTAGCGTAGTTGACAAAATTTTGTTATGAACTTAAGATATTAATGAAAGTAATTATTGTGCAAAACGATCTTTGTGTCATGCAGTGCCTTTTAGATAAGTCCTTGAATATTGTTTGTACACGCTCAAAAATTCTTTTATATGGCTGAATAAGTGTTTAGTACATAAATACAATTTACTTAAGATTACGATCTTAAATGTATAACAGTAATTATGTAGTGCATGTAAATAATAATTTAAGTCGCAAAGTTTATTTTGTTATGAAAATGTAATTACAATCTTGTTAAGTAGAATTTTGTCTATTGTATAAGTTGTAGTTAATAAGTTTAATAACAAACCAGAAAAAACTACTACGAAAAAATACGAAAAGGTACTAATACCAACGTAACTAACTAAAATGTTTAAGGTAGAGCGAAAGAGAGCTCACTGTATTGAATTACTGTTGCCTTTTAAACCAAATTATTATTATTATTTATTAATTGGCATTGGTTATAGAGCCCAAAAAGATAACAAATAATGAAGAAACTCAAAGCTAACCTAACTCTTGAAAATGTATACAACTTCAACTTTTGTATCTATGGCTCCGTCATTTTGCGCATTTTTTTTCCATCCTCTAAGGTTTTGCGCGACGCTTTTATGTCCCTTTTAAAACAATTGCCAGCTGCTAATGTCTCTTTGAAAAATACCATTTCTATTGTACAGTGATGTGTTTAGTTCAGTTCTGAATGGACTTACTGATCATGATAAAGAACCAGTAAAAAATAAACGTTTAAGATTTTTGCCTATTAATCTTTTAACAAATTTTAGTTTCCACTTAAGTCTGTTATCAAGGTCTTTACTAAATTTCTGTTAACAAAATATATGCCCAGAAAAGCAAAGTAAAATAAATACATGCATACATGAAAGGCAAAGTAAATACATGCCCAGAAGTAGAAGCATTGGTGTGACAACTGAGCGCCCGCACCTTAGGTGGTATAGCTTTTTAATATATGCTTTACAAATTCCAGGATGCGTTTTACAACTTGTACTAAACATTCCAGTTATTACAACTGGCAAAAATTATGTGCGCTCTCAGTCCACACACACACACACATTACATAACATTTCGTCTAACGGTTAATATTCTCTATGACCCAATGACATGTTACCGTTGTTCATCATATGTTTAGAAAAAGGAGAAAAATAAAGAACTTTAAATATTATTTAAAAATATTATTGTATATTTGTCAACTGAAATTAAACAAATCTTAAAATATTTTCGCTTAGCAATATTTTGGAATATAACAGAAACAGTACTTGTATTGTTAACATTTATGTTAATATTTGAATGCCATTTTCAATGATGTTAACTAAGTGAAAATATTTTCTTTTTTATATCTGGCGCGTTCTCAAATACACATTTTGAGTCATGAATATTTGTGTTATTAAAAGGTCGCTATGCAATTAAAGAATACAGTATATAATTTAAAAAGGTGTCAGATATAGTACATATCTTCACTTAGTTGACTATTGAAAATAGAGTTTAGATTTTCGTACAATTCACGAGCTCCCACAGGAAATAATGCTATTCAATGCACCACTTATAACTAATACTAATAAACATACAATTTTGCGGATTGCATTTATAATAACTAGTAAGAAATTTGTAATATCGCAATGCACAGCAAAACAAAAAGCTCCGCAGAATGCCGGCGTTTACGTGTTCGAGCGAAACGTGAGGACCACCTTCAGTCGTAGTGGTCTGGTCTCCTATATGTCCACGCCTTGAAATGAAACTACAAAAAATGCAGAACGCGTGTAACCGCATTCTGTCTGCGGAATCTTGTCGTATTTATTTAATAGGCCCTTATATACATGATTCTTATTTATACTTAGCGTACGAAGGCAGCAGCACATCATATTGAAATAAATTTTAGCAAATTGTTAAAAGCACACTCCTGTACATATCTACATAAGTTTATGGTGAGCCAACCTACCGACCCTTAGGCCAAATTTATATTGCAGCGGAACAGAATGGAAGCGAATTTTTGTAACGATATTGTACATAATGAACTTTATGGGCAATTGTGTTACGTACAACTAGAAACGAGTCAAAAATCTTCCGCGGAATTCTCTCTTATGCTCGCGCATTCCGCAGAAGATTTTGGCTCGTATCTAGCGTAAGGCGCCGCGGCAGACCGAGGAAGCGATGGCGCGACGAACTGGACGCCTACGACAAGGTTTGGGTCCAGTTAGCTCAAGATCGGGATGCGTGGAGGGATCAGGAGGAGGCGTTTTGCCCAACAGTGGTATACATCAGGCTAAATGTAAATCTAGTTCGTATACGTTAGGCTATACGAGATTTATAACCCGTGCAAGCAAGCCTGCTCAGGGAACTCATCAGTCTCCAGATCAGTCCGTCTACACAGACTTCATCCGATTCTCAAAAGGCTAGAACCTTGGGTGAGCTGCCCCGGGTGCACATACAGTACCCTCGTATTTCGGTATAAACCCTCGTATTTTCCAGATAGGTACCGGAGCTCTTGCCACGCTCACTTCCCGTTGTGGATTGCACAACTAACGGTTGCCACCGCTAATTTTAGAAGCAGTCGAGCTTAGTAGGTTAGTAGCAGTAGAGCTCCACGTGAAAGAGTTCGTCCAGAGAAGTACTATCAATGTACAATGTGAGCATTATTGCGTTCAGGTTTTGAAGGGTAATGGTGCTGGTGAAATTGCAGGCACATGGGACTTATCAACTTGTATCAGTGTCGCAGTTACAGTGCCCCTCAGATCTTTGCGATTGAAAGTTCTGAGTGGCACTGTAACTATCATGGATAGGCGTGTCGCTTACCACCAGGCGCACTTGTTCGTCCCGTCGCCGTCGTTTGACATAATAATAAAAAAGTAGTTTCTTAGAACAATTATTCCGGATTATTTTGAAGTATGTTGTGCAATATTTTAATTTGACAAACACAAGAACGTGTATAATACCTATAACATGATAATACCGTAATTATTATCAACCCATTTATACGTCCCTCTGCTGGGCACAGGTTTGGGCCATAGTGTACCGTAATGACAAATATTAACAATTTAGAAACTTCAAAATTTTGAATCATGGCACCTTAAAAATGTATCAATACTTCTATTGAAATTCAATAGTATAATTTCCTCGCCCCCAATTTCTTCTAATCTTAGACAATTGATTCCTATGGCAGGATCGCGAATTCTAACTGGTAGATTAGGGCGATCTCTGATTGGGACTTAGCCATCTGTGATTGGCAGAACAAGGATCACTGATTGGAAGTATAACAATTCACGGTTAGTAGGATGGAGGTACCTAATTGGAAGAAATGGGAAGAGATGAAATTGCGCAGCAGAAATTCGGTAAGTCTGGCGCTCGGCTTGATTTGAACAACGCCTACAAAATCATTGTGTCACTTTCGTTGATAGAAATTGGTGTTACAATAACTGGCAGTACAAATTCTTAAAATTATAACAAACCAATCCGCAACCTTTTAACAGTTGAAATAGCAAAATATAAACTATAATAATGTTTACAATAAAATATGCTAACTCATGTAAAATATTCAATATGCAGTGAAATAACATTATGACTAAGCCTATGATAATAATATTGTTAAACATCCATTAGAACCATATACGTCTAAAATAGTAAATAAATATAATTTAAATAAAAACTACCCTTTTTTAGCACTTTGTAGGGTAAAAAATCCATGCCAGTTCTTGTTTGAGCTATTAAAGCTGAAGCTTCGTTTTTAGATATTTACATCCTTCAGTACAAAATTGGAAAACCTAGAAATGCTTTTACTACAGCCTGATTAAGAAAGTACGATGTTTCAAGTGCGTAGGTAGAATGTGAGCCGTTTGTATATTGGTTTATTAAACTAATTATTACAATAACCGATGAGACGGGAACTGTCAAATAAAGCCTCGGTTTACCAACAGTGGTGTTCACTAAAAACATCGCACGCCTTACGTCCACACAATTTCGTCTAAAATTGAATTTATCTAATTTTTTTCATATAAAATAGACGGTCGATTTTTGAACTATTTTGAACTTGTATTACAATCTGTCAATTGGAAGTATTTTTAGAGTAATTTGAATGTACCTTGTATTAGTTTCATTCATAAGCTTGCAGTATTGCCACAATTTTATGTTTTTTAAAGATGTAAAACAATAATTAGATTTGCCATTTTAAACACAATTGAAATAAAAATTACGAAATGGCTAAAAATTAAAGACACATTTCATGATCTATATACAAGGTATCCCTTATGGGACTGAGGATAAAATTCATTGAAAATTGTTAACCACAAAATCGTGTTAAATACTAAATACTGAAAGTGTTTTGTGAACTCTAATTCCGTACAATGTTTTATATGGAATTATACTAGGAATATAGAAAGAATATTTAATACAAGTTTCATTATATCCTGTCTTGGCAAGTCAAAAATAAGTCACATAAAAGTCTACTTTCCACACAATATTTTAAACTGAGTGATCTTCCACGTAACAAACCAAATGTTATGATTTATGATATAAATAAATAAATATATATACATATATTTTACTCTAATTAAAAGTCACTGATCGTTTTTGTTCTGGGCACTTCCAAGAAACGCTGATTAGCAAATCTCGTAACGGTGCATGCGAACAAAACGGATTGACAGAGGTAGTGGTTTTTGACAGTCTCTCTATAGAGTCTTTAAGTGAAGGTGTCGTCTTCAGTCTTTAACTGAAATCGAATCCAGTGGAAAAACTGAACTTCGGAAGTAAGTTGAGTATTTAGAGTTGAGAATTTAGAGTTCAATTACGTGTCAGAGGGATCAACCGTATCAAAAAATTCACGTGTATTTTTCTTTTAAGCAAAATGTATGCTTTTATTATCACGGTTTTATAGTGTGTTCAGTAATTCCAATGCATGATATTAGTAAATAATAATTCACTACGACGTTCGACATAAATAGGTAGTAATAAAAATTAACAATATTGGTTACTTTGGAACGGACGACGACGTAAAGATCTTTTGAGTTATCACGACATTATACTACTGGAAAATTTAAATTGATTATGATATAACGTTGTGTTATGTAAACATTGGGATTTAGATACGTATATGACTGGGGTGTCGATTTTATTACGATTATTTATAGGGGTTAGTGTCAAGTAAACCATGTTTGTTTATTGGATCGAATAGGTTTGAGTGAGCTTTGTTTGTTCACTGGATTGAATAGTTTGAGTGAACTGGAAAGTTTACTGGTTTGGAGCAAAACTCAGAAAGGCGTTCTCTAGTGAGGAAAACTGGAAGTCTTTCAAAATAATTTTATACTAGGCGGCACCTCGTTTAACAATGAGACTTATATGATGAATATTTTTGACTTGAATTAGGTGGTAAAGAGGCTCTTGATTGTATTGTAGAATTTCTGACAGGTCCATTAGAAACGGTGTGCTTAACTCCTACGAATCGCAGTACTTGCTAAATTTTCTTTGTTCCCACGACCTCAACCCTAAATTTTCATTAAAATTGCACAAATACAATAATTATATCCCATAGAGCAGTGTTAATATTGATGTGTTGCTACAATAAGTCAATAAATAAATTGTATGATTAAGAACGGTTCAGAATTTGAGATGTATATAAAATACCTTTAAGATTACTGCATAATATGAAATTATTTATCTAATAATTACTGTATAACTAAGACTACTAATTAATTAACGATGACTACAGAATAGGCATGGTTGAAATATCAGTTTGTACCAAATAGTTATTATTTAATAAGTCCTCTGGCTCTCATGTATCACGTGCCGGGAACGTGCACTTTATTGGGCGGCCCATTATAATTATTTTGGGCAAAAATAAAATACATATACGGGAGAATTCATGTTTTGTAAATGGCAGCACTAAAAATCGCATATCTCACTTTCCCAGTAAGGGTGGTGCGGAGCATGCGTACCAAACGTATTGAGAGAGGCGGAGGTTTACAGATCCTCCAGAGAATCGATTAAGTGAATGTGACTGTTTGAATCAAGTGGAAATATTCGAAAATAAACTAAGTACTAAAATTTGGAGTTTTATTACACATAAAAATAAAGCAGACGATGAACGTTACACGGATTTGTCTAGTATTGAAGATATTTTCACGCTTTTCTCCCAATAGGTTATATAGCAACTATGGATCGTCAGTTGTTATAATAATAAATGGCAATACAGCAAGCAAGAATCAACACTACAAACAAGTGTTTTTTTACATTAAAGTTATCCTTAATAGTAATCCTGTAAGGTGACATAAGATCGTATCATATGGTCGGCTCACTTGTTCTCCTTGGACGAATGGTTGTTGGTCTCTTCAGTCTTTTCACCGTCGCCGTAGAATTTTGGCTGCAAAATACACATTTTTTTATTGACAGTTTAAGAACATCTAGAGCGCTTTAAAAGCAGCAGTTTTAACTGCTGCTGTTAAATTGCTCCAGATGTAAGATGGCGGTATTGCTATAAAGCTCCAACGAAATTAACTGAAACAATGTGGAACATGTATTTTCTTCCGTGATTTTTGCCCACTTAATTTTGTTGGAATAAGTGTGAATTTTTACAATTCTCGCTGATGAGGATGACTTTACTAATTAAATAGTATAATTAATTGCAAATCAATAATTGGCTCTCCACAAAAAAGTGCTAATTGAGTCCAGTTAAGAGGAATTGCGCTGTATGGAGTCCGTCGCTTTGAAATTGTTGATGTGAAAGAGCTCTTACTTAATAAGAATCTTTAATTAAAAAGAATAAAAAATATGCATTTTTTAGTATTAATTGCAGTGGTATAAAATAATCTCAAAATTCAGACAAAAAACCGTAAAAAACTATTACGCATTAAATATTTACGTGTCTAAAGAGTGGCTACATAAAATGAAGGACAAAATAAAAAAAAAAATTAAAAACAAAAAACAATAGTGACAATGGTACACAAATACGATGAGTACAAATCAACACCACACAATTATTAATGAAAATAATTTAACACTCAAAAACCAAAATCATGATACTTGTACACCGCATCACTGTTATATTTTCAATGGTTATTTTGTCTAATACTTTACATAGTTGACTATTTGGCACGTAGGCATTTCGTTAAATAAATATTATAGACAAAGGGAAAGAACCTTGAACCCCACGAGATCTAGTGTCCTTAATTGTCCCAAAACGTGTTGTCCACACAGTCTCAAAGTATTATCTCAAATAATAAAGTAACAAATAATAATTACTATGCATATGCTAATAGATGCTAGTGAATTTAGGTACCCCATTTAACAGAACAGTTCTACATTTGATAAGAATAAACTTTGTGTGAAGGAATGTCAGGACACTTATAATCGGCGTCTGAAAACAGTTTCTTTTAAATTCTGGTAAGAATGATTTTTTTGTCCACTGATATTTTCTCAACTGCATTTAATTTATTCAGTTTCGTCATACCGGCATTTGGTCCCATGCGCGCAATATCAATTTCGTTACGCCCTGAAACTAAATAACTGCTTTACTAAAAATAACCATTTCAAATATTCCATTGAATAAGCAGACAATCCATGGGTGAAGTATAGTTTGTTTCAATCCATTTTATTAAAAATGTAAACAAACAGGTCATTGGCCCGATCATAGACGGTGTAGTGATGGCCAATAGTACTCCAGTTATAAATTAATTATTATATATATAAATTATATATTATTTATATTATCAATTCATTAATTCAATAAATCCTTTCTTGACGTAATCAGTCAGAACAAGTTTTTTTTGCGATTACTAATAGTAACCAAATATATGTGATTTGATAGTGAGTTATGATATTTTGATGGACAGGATTAGAAAATTATAATTTGTACGGGTTTTAGCAAACTCCGTACAGCGACTGCCGTGAAGATAAGTGTAGTAAAAAGTTTGACGGATTATATTAAATGTTAAGTTTATTGTGTACCTTAAAGGCATTTCTTTCTCTCCTTTGTTGACAGTTAAATTGCTAATAGCATACTACATCCAAATAATTACTAGTGTTTAGTGTAATGTGACTATAGACGCGCGGTGACTAAAAAAAATGAAAATTTGAAAATAAGTAGTTAGTTTTTTAATTTATTAAGTCGCTAAGTTAATTCAAAATAAAAGTTGATCATTAGAAGGCGTGTTTGTGGCGCCTCTTGCGGCAATTGGTAACAAGTGTTTCATTTGGCGTTGGATCAGCGGTGAATGAGATATTCGGCGTGTATTAGCTTAGCTAGCGAAAACATTGTGTACCTACTTATACTACTAGTGTTTGTTCTTACATGACCCATAAAGTATTTAAAATTTCCGAAATAATAATTTTAAACACTCCTTGAAATACTTAAACTTAGATACTTGTTTGATTGTGATTTAAATATACCGATTTACTAATAGATTACTAAAACTTTAATTGAATGAACCGAATGAATCCTTATCCGTACAGCACTATGCAACCATAAGATCCAAGTACGATTTTAAAATGTTATTGAAATGAATATTGTAGTGTAAAGTGGAAACCATCAATATACATATACATGAAAGTGTTAGGTACTTATTCCATTTATTGAGCGATTGCTTAGGAATTTTAACCAAACCGGTTTGTTTACCCTTTTTATAAAATAAATTGAAAGAAACTATAGTAAATACTAAAAAATTCTAAATGTTTTTTAAAATGCGCTTGGTGGACAAAACAACACAATCTCGATAGGTGTCGAAGCAATACTCGATCTTTGACTTACACGATCTCATATTTGTACTATACAGAGGTTACTCTATTCCTGTATCCGTTTTTGACACCACTATAACTTGTAAAGTCCTAGAAATGAATAATTATAAGTTAAGTTAATTATACGTTATATATAATTATATGTTAAGAAAAACGTTTTAGCTATCGCTTCCAATGCTGTAGGCAGTGATTGCATTAGTCGTAATATGATCATTCCGCTCCTCGATCTCCTCACTCCCGTCATAACTAAAATCCTTAATAAATCTGTCTCTACCTGTGTTTTCCCCTCTGCCTGGAAAGACGCTTATGTCATTCCATTACCAAAAAAAACCAAACCAAACTTCCCTTCAGACTACCGTCCTATTTCAATTCTTCCTTTCCTGTCGAAAGTCCTAGAAAAGCTTGTTCACTGTCAGTTGACTAATTTCGTAAACAGGAACAACCTTTTCAATCCTCTCCAGTCTGGTTTCCGCATTGGTCATAGTACGACTACTGCACTCACGAAAATCACTGATGACATCCGTTTGGGTATGGAAAATCAACAATTGACTGTGCTGACACTCCTTGACTTCAGTAATGCCTTCAATTGTGTTGACTTTGACCTATTATTGGAGGCATTGCGTATTCTTAACATATCTCCAGCAGTTATTGATTGGTTTCGAAGCTACCTCTGTGGACGTCGGCAGTGTGTACGCAATGAGAATTCTTTCTCTACGGGGTGCGATATTTCCGCCGGTGTCCCGCAGGGTGGCGTCCTTTCTCCTCTCTTATTTTCTTTGTTTATTAACTCTATCACACAATCCCTCACTTCTTCTTATCATCTTTATGCTGATGACCTCCAGATTTACACCCAGTCGTCTATTCAAGAATTACCACGTGCCATTAGTACTACCAATGTGGACCTTGAATCCATTCGTCAATGGAGTCTGTCCTTTGGCCTTAAAGTTAATCCATCCAAAACACAATCGATTATTATAGGTAGCACTTGGTTCAATTCTCGTCTAAATCTAGCCTCCTTACCCCCTGTGGTTTTCGATGGTGTCTGTATTCCTTATTTGGATACAGTCAGGAATTTGGGGGTAATTTTTGATAAATGTCTGACTTGGAAGCCGCAAGTTGCTGAGGTTAGCAGGAAGGTGTTTGGTGCGCATTTCTCTCTGAGAAGGCTTAAAAACTTTTTGCCGACTAAAACCAAAATTACTCTGGCCCAGAGCATTCTCCACCCGATACTGGACTATGCAGATGTTTGCTACCCAGATTTGTCAGTAACTCTGCTCAATAAATTGGAACGGCTCCAAAATATGTGTGTTAGGTTCATCTTCGGACTACGTAAATTTGACCATGTCTCCCAATTTCGCGCACAAATTAAATGGCTGCCCATCCATCGGCGTAGAGATCTTCATATTCTTTCACTTCTCTATTCAATTCTGTTCTATCCCTTTACGCCTTCTTATCTTAAAGATCGCTTTACTTTCCACTCTTCTACACTCTGTCGTCCCCTTCGCTCCTCTGATACTCTCTTACTTAACTTGCCCTCTCATACCTCTAACTTTTATTCCAACTCTTTTACCATTTCTGCGATCAGATTGTGGAATTCTCTCCCTGAATCGATTCGACGATCCCCTTCTCTTGATTCCTTCAAACAACGTGTCA